GGAACCCGGTTTTTGATAGCTTAAAATCTCGGGTGGTTTCTCTTGAATTTTGAGACATGGAGAGAATTTATTACCTAATCGCTTTCCTTGATTTTTTGTTTTTACAGAAAATTGTTGTCCGTAAAATCTAAATCCCCGGTCAAACACGACAGATCTGAGGAAGACTCCTACTCTTCAACAAAAAATTCATTTCCGATTTCTGATGCTTGTGCATCTACGAGCTTTACTGAGAAGGATCTTGATATTTCTTCCTCTTTGTTTCCTGGTTTAACGGGGAAGAAGCAGGTAAGAAGTTCTATATATTTTCAAATTAAAAGATTATGTTTAAATAATCATTGGAAATGGGTGCAGTTTTGGAACTCTTTTCTAAAAAACTTTACACGGTATATACCGTACACGAGTTTGTTATGCGACCCCATGTAGTTTCGCCTACGTGATGCAGTTTGATGATACTAATAATAATAATAATAATAATAATAATAATAATAATAATAATAAAATATTTGGAGTATTATACAGAAGTCTCAATCCTCTCACAGGGTAACGCTAAGAAAATTAAGGAAAATACGTACATGTATATGAGAATCTTTCACACTTCAAAGGAGCGTTGCCATGAAATTTATTTAACAGAGAAGTTATTAGCAGTTTTCTCAACAATAGGTCAAATTAATATTTAAATATTTTATTTAGATTGTAATACTCGAGAAATATAGTACGATTCATTATTTTCTCTCTTAAAATGTTTTTGTTTTATACACTAAGAAGAATCAAATTGTATTTTTTAAATATTTTTTGTTTTTCAAATGTATATGACATATTTCAGTGAGTTCAGCTAAATTGTTCTTTTCCCAATTCATAAACAGACATCCGACTTGGCAATCGAACTAAAAAGCAAACATGGCGCGACTGAGGTGATTGTAAAAGAAGAACTTCTAAATGTGATCGCTGAAGACTTCGAACGAACTGGGTAAGACTTCCCTTTAACAAAATACCAACAGTAAGAGATCGATTTCTTGATCTCCCACAATATTAAGTAAAATTGCGTGCTAAGTTTTAACCTCTTTTTCTTTGGCTTTGGCCAAAACGTATCTAGACAAGCTGGAATTGAAAGTGGTTGTAACCGTTCTCTGATGTTGTCTTCTATATTCCAGCAACGCATGCGCAACGCAAGGTGAATGCCAACCTGTTTTCTTTAAATGTTGGTATTCAACTAGCGCTGCGTTGCTGGCTTCAGAGTTTTAAACAGAAGATTCCAGCAGACTGAAGCTAAGGTGTTATCACTACTGTAGTTGCAAACCTAGAATAGAAATCATGTATTAGATCTTTAAAAAGTATTGCATGACGTGGATGTTCAAACTTATGGTTCTTTGAGAAGGAAATAAATAAAACGTTTATGTCATCACAGCCCATTCATGATGTGTGTTCTTTTGAATTGGGCCCAGTTCTCTAAAAATAGAGGAACACAAACAGGACAAATACGCGCTTGAACTTGCGAGCCTCCAACTAAAAAGGTTGCATACATGTAAACCGAAGGAAAACTAGAACGTGTGTTGGTCACCTTTGCATGTCGTTCTATTTTATATTTCAGCATCAAACAAAGCGAACATCATTCTGTTTTAAACGCTAATGCTGACGTATTCATTCCACGCTTTCAAGCAACTGGCGGCCAATTTGAATCTGCAGAGCGATTTGGTAAACTACAGCGTGGGTATGTTTTATACTTTTTATACTTTACTTTTATTTCTATTGCGCAATTAGGACGTTTATCATTTATGTGAACTAAATGAGGTATTGGTTTAAAAGTATGTGAGCCAAACCAAAACCAAAACCAAAAGGATCTTCCTCCCACCATGCGAACAGTTCTAAGATTCGAGCCATCTTTCAGGTCACTGTAAAAAACCGCGAAACCGTGTATTATTCAATGTCTATCAATACTTATGAAATTTAATACACAGCATTAATCATTCTCGGGGATGGGGCACTTCCCTATAAGAGAAAGTAGGCAAAAAAAATACAAAACCAAAAAACCCTCGAATATCATCAACGAATCATGATCAATAAATATCTTCCATCTGTGACTGGAAAACGGAGATTGGGTCAGATTGACGAATTCACGCTACTTTAGTTAACGACTTACAAAGATTTTGAGAAAGTAGTCCGAGTTAGATTAGGCCCAAGCGGATGGCCCATGCCCTGCTCAGGGGCACATTACCGTCACGACCAAATAACGGAGTGCCCCCTTCCGGGAAACGCCTACACAACAAAGAATTCTTGGCCATGCAGTATATAATTTACCGATCGAGAAAATAAACATTAGTGGGAAATCAAAATGAAACACTAAAACCAAGAATATTTTTCTTTTTAACCAAAGACAAATTATCAAAGTAAAAGACTGAAAAGCAAACAAGACAAAAATCAAAATAAATGAATTCTCCTCAAACCGACAGTAGATATCAAGTTGGCAAGATATTTTATTTTTAGTTAATTTTTTTTCTTGACTTCAGAAGCGGCTCTTTCAGCTATGTTTCAGACAAAAGGGCTGCTATGTCTTTGTATAAAAGCAACGGACTACTCAGATGAAAGATTCATGATTGATTGATTCACTGATGATTGTTTTAGTTCTTTTTTGGTTTTGTAATTTGTTTTCCTAATTTTTGTCATCAATGTTTTGTTATTAAGGTTTTGTTATTAAGGGTGTTACGGGGGGGTCTGTTCCGTCAGGGGGGCGGGTCCAGGGTATTCCGGGGTGTCCTGATTATGTGCCGGGGGTGTTCCGGGGTGTTCTGGGCCTGTTCCTGGTTTTACTGACACCCAATTTTGAGTTTGATGTAGTTGACAATCGCCAGCTCAACTAATCTTTTTTCCCCCACAGAATTACCGGAGGAAGCCATTCGTTAAACGTACACGCCAAAGAATTCGTTCCTGTCGATTTTCAGGTGACGAAATTTTCACAAATAATATGATCTTATCAAAACGACATTGGTGGAAATTTTCTCATTGAATTAATATTGCTCCTCGGAAATTCCCATGAGCAACTATCGGATCTCGCCTCCATGCAACGCATATTATCTCTCTGGCTACATTGCAAACAAGATGAAACAATTAAATTTCAATCATTGTAAATTCAGAAATAGTTACTTTCAAAGTATGCCAATTGCTACTGAAAGACATTATAGCTACGAAAATATAGGTATTTTTCCATACTTGGTAAGAAACGATCAAAGCAACATGTCTAACTTGTATATCAGTTCGGTTTCTTAAGTTGTTTGTCGTTCCAATAAATCGATTATTTCTTATTCTTGCAATTCTAATACAACCAATAAAAACAAAGTGAATATTTAGAACAAAAAGTGAACATTGTTTATGATAAGATGAAGACAAAAAGACTTATTGTTTCGTTTTAGCATTTTCTAGTGAAATATTTTCGAATAAACATCAGCATCGACTTACTTTCATTTCAATCATCTTTGATTACAGAACAGTGCAAGTGTCTCCATGTTTGCCCAGCCTAAACACGATGTGGTCCCGATTGCTTCTCCAGCCCAGCCACGCCCTGTTAAAAAGAGACGTCGAGCCAGACACCGGAAAAATCACTCCCAGGATCTTCAGCAGCCAAAAGGTATTTTAGTCTTGCAAATAGGAAGTCCCTCACGAATAGAACCCTTGTGATTTCAGTGGAACATATTCGTGAAAAATATATCCAACAGACTCAATTTGAACACTTAATTAGCCCCCCCACCCCTCTCCTATGCAAAATTGTACCAAAGTCCCTCAAGAATAGAAAAGCAGCGATTCCAGGGCTCTACTGCGAAGGATCTTGATATTTCATTTGCTTTGTTTCCTGGTTTAATGGGCGAGAAGCAGGCAAGTTGTTAAGTTTAAACAATGGAAAATGGGTGCAGTTTGGGAACTGATGTTTGCAAACACTTAACACGGTATCCTGCAAGAGAACTTGTTGTGCGCACCCATGCCGTTTCGCGATACGTGATACAGTTTATTGCTGCATAATTTTTCTCGTAAGAAGGACCATTATTTTTTACCGGGGTAAGCAAGGAGGGGGGGAGGGTGGGGATATAGGGGCACGGGAAGGGACAAACTTCACGACTCCCTGAAAGTATTCTCACATCAAGCTTCGTTTACGGACTTACGTACTCGCGACTGAGTGAGTATGATGAGACCGTACTATAACCTTATTATCATGAGCTATTACAGAAGTTGGTGCTATAATTCCTGACATTTTCGATGGTCCCCCTGATTTTAACTTAAGGTGGAAGGGCCATGAAGTCTTGGTCTGTTGTGATAACGAAGTGGCTGTATTAACGACGTTGAGGCACACTATGTAATACTTTCCCCCTTTTCCTCCTTTGTTCTCTAGATTCACTACTTAACCGAATAAACGAAGCAGAACAGGAGTAACTTATCCAGCACGTGTCAACAAACACTTTTAATCAGTTTTTAATTGGAAGAAAAAGTTTTATTAGTTTTTTCTCGTCATTCTAAATATCATATCTGCTCAATACTGTTACAATTCTTCTTTCACGAGGTAAATAACTTGTCATTGGAAAGGAAAAATTTCAGAATTATCAAGACGGCTTGATGGAAAAACATAATCGTGATTTTTTTTTCACTTCTGAGTAGTTTTAGAACACAACCGCGCTTTTCTGGGATAAGCACTGTGTTTTTATAATCAAACTTGTAAATAGAAGAATTTTTATTTGTAAAATATTATAATTGTGTTGTACTAATAAAGCATTTATTTTTGGTTAGGATCAGTGTTTCATGTAATTTCTCAGTTTATTTCATTGTTGCCAATTAATTGCCAACAACGAAATATTAACAATAGAAATTGAATGTGACTAATTTTTAATACGAACAAGAGTACTCCGACTGCCACTTGATTGCCTCATTTAAGCCTGCGTTTTTAAGGTGAACAGGCGATTGCCCTTGTTTATCATGTGCTTAAGTGAAAGAATAATTACACGGGTTATAAATTAGAATGTTTACTTGTACAATTTGATTACGATAACAGTAACTACAACAGGATAAATGAGCAAAAATAAACCCAAACAAACGGCTATGGCGACGCCATAACGATTCGACAACCAACTGCTAACATCCACCCCTCCCAGGAAAGTATTTCCCAGCCAACCAGAGCTGCGGATGTTTCGCGACAGCTTCTCGACAGTGAATCCACTAGCCGTTGCCTTAGCGATGTTACCATGCACGCGCTCTTCTATCTCACGCCAGTTGGAAGAGTATGCGAGGGCCTGGATGCAAAATTCCTTCGCAAACTCGACACAGTCCTCCAGGAGAACGCTGTATCGATGGGGAGCAGCTCGCATGGCCACAAACTGCAAAGCGTTTAAACTTATTCCTTTGAATCTACTGATATAAAAACTGCGCTGGATTCTGTTCTCAACATCCCTGAAGAGACTGCACTCTTTGCGTATCTTGTACCACCTTTGTTCTTCGTTCTCAATACACAGCTCGTATTGCCAGCACATCATTTGAGCGGGGATGTCAAAGGGTGATTTTACAACATCCGAAAAATCGATCAAGCCAGTCTCGTCTTCACCCGCGGGAACGCACAAAATAAACCCGTGCCATCGTTTGTTCACACAAATGAATAAATCCATATCCATCATGTTCCCGGTGGAGGCAAGCTCCTTGATTTTTTTATTGTCTTTCTTCTTGTAGGCTGTTACGACTTGGGCATCAAAGTCGGACAAAGTATTGACGTAATAGGCCAATGGTTCTACACTGCGTAGTGTTCCTTCCATGCTTGTCTACGGTCAGATAGAAAAAAAATAATTATGACGAGTCTTGCATAAGGCCGGAGATTAATCGATGGTTTTCAAATCGTACTTTCCCACGATCCAGATTTGTTTATCACGACAACGCGAGTGCTTATCGTTTGAAGAACACCGAAAGCGAAGAACTAGTTCTTCCACAACAGCGCATTGATAATCTAAAGAGGAGTTTTTCCTTCAGTGGAGCTCAGTTCTGGAACTAGGAACAACTTAACTGTACCAAACCCTCCCACGGTCTTTTTCAACTTTTGACGTTGACAAGTTAGGGAAAATTCGTCTACACCTCATCTTTGCTCTCTTACGTAAGACGAATCACTTACGAATTTGGCAATATTACTAATTCGACTTACTATTACTGTTCTAATTCTTCCAGTGATGTCGACGGACTTTCTCTAACTGGGCCATGTAAAAAGTTGAGAAAACCGCGGAAGAGTATTTCGACAAGCGACTTGAGTAAACGACCTCAATACAAAACTAAGTCCCCACACTTTTAAGAAAGAAGACAGTTAACTTCCGCAATTATTTTAAAAACTGATTGAACAAACGTTTATATATGAAAAACTATCTATCTATGAGGTCATCAATAGATCTACCTCGTTATCAATAAAAAAAGACAGAAAACTTAACCGAGCTTAGCCTGCGAAAACAGCCGTTTCTCCTCGTTCTTCGTCGCTGAGGACGTTTTAATTTCGCGAGGAAAACGAAACATCCCCAGCGGCGAAAAGCGAGGGGAAACGGCTGTTTTCGCAGGCTAAACCGAGCTGTCACTTGAGGCCGCGATTTGTGAGAATTCTGCAGTCACGACCAACTGGACATGACCACGCTCCTTATTTATTTTATTACATTAGTGCGTCTTACCCAGCATCGTCGTAATTCACTATATATATACCTACTGCATTGCAATGGACTGACTTTCCGTTAAAATTATAACTCAATGCTTAATCACAGCCCCAACAGTTTTTAGTGTACTGGATGAAGTAGGGCCAAGAGATCGTATTTTATGTTATCATTAAAAAAACGTAAATTTACCATCGTCAATCTGCTGCCTAAAACCAACAATAAAACCATTTCATTATTCAACAGCTCACCTCACTTAGACTAGATTCCACTGAGATTGGATGCTTGTTCTTTGGGTCGAACGAGTGCGATCAACAAACTCGATGATAAGTCTGATATATAGTTCTGTATTTCACTCTAACTTAACTCGATATACCCGGAAGTACAATCTCGTTCCCAGGATCTTCTCGTTTTCCAATATGGGGACGAGGTTGCCCGGAAGCTCTTCTGAGAAGGCTTTAAATAGGCTTTGTTAACCAACATCTTGGGTTTTCTCGGAAACGGCCATGGGACGAGATTGACTCATTCGCTGCTGTTAAAAACGGCGGTTACACTTAAAGTTAACAAGCCTTCCGCCAGTTAATTGGCTTATCTTAGTAGCCTGCGAGTTTGTGGTGCACAAAAATATCATTGTAGTCAAAAAAATGAGTCCCTTCAAAAAGCGGAAGTTATCCGGCCTTAACTTGCTAGAGCTCACATTTTGAGTTTCCTCAGTGAAAATCACTGTATTGCCACACTTTTTGTAGCAAAAAAAAAAATCAAATAGTATAAAAGATAATCATGATATCTAAGCATTTTAAAAAGTAACCTGATCAATTGTTTAAAATACAAGTTGCCAGCAACAAGAAGTCCGACCCAAAATTAAAAAGTCAGAAAGGATATCAGAGAGGAATGGGTTTACGGGGGGTTTTAGGGACTTGAACTTTACCATCAGTCAACTTTATCCACAAGGAAACTGAATATGAAGATCGTATAAATGTAAAAAAATTTCTTTTCATCCTGCTATTAAAATATCCCTCGTGGTAGGTGGAGGCGGGGGGGGGTGTTGGGTTTTGAGGCTGGTGGTACGGAATCAAGAAATATAGAGCGTTTACATGACGTCACGTCCGCTAAAACAATAAAATGGCGACCGTGTGGGAGCAGTCCCGTAGGAGTTAAACGTTTTTCTTATCTAAAAACTTTCTCTTGTTCCAGTAAATTTGCCTAGTTGCTTGCCACCTGAGTGAAAACGCTTAATAATAATAGACAGATTTAGAGTCGCGTTACGGCAAACGTGAATTTCATTTATTTCATTTCATTTATTTGTCCAGTTGAGTCACTCACATTAAATAAAAATAAAACGTTACAAGAGGTGTTAATTAAAATAAAGGTGGTTGTGACAAGGAAGCCTAAAGAAGCTGAGAGCTGATATTAATAGGCTTCCTTAAGCTCTATTGCAAAGGCTTACTTGACTGCAGAGTGTGCAGAAACAGACTATCAAGGAGATAATTTTTCAGATTTTTTTAAAACTTGTTTTCGGCAAATTTGTACCGCGTAAGTAAGTTTTCCCTTTCCCTGTCTTTTAGTTGTAATTACTTCTACCAAAAAAAGTAGTTTCACCCCCGTTTTAGTCATAAGAGTTGTTCCGGTGTGTTTTTATCCTTGAGAAAGTCTCAATTTGAATCTAAGAGGGGTGGGGGTGGTGCGAGGGAGGCTCCGTACCATGGGGGAGTCCCCGCTGGACAAAGATACCGACATCTCTCATCGGTATACACGTGGTATACATGATCGTGTCATCGTGTCCCAAAATTGGAAAATCAAAATTTTAAGGAATCATTAACATAGTTTAGCGGTTCTTGGCGTGTTGCCCCGCGTGATTTAATTGCGATGAGATGTTCCATCTTGTTTTCGGCAAACACTAGAGCATCGATACGATCGGGTGGTCAAGAACAATGGACGCCATGCTGCTGGCTCTGTATTCTTTCGATGTGATGCAAATATAAGAATATTCTCCCCAGTAGTCACTCATTTTAGGAGGAAATTTACATGTACTTTTCTTGACTTGGAGCTCTCGCAAGTGTCCCAGTTGTTATGCAAGATGTCTTCAAAGGTCGTCACCATTGGCCAGCTAATTCAGAAATGTCTCAAGCAGGCTTATTTTTTGCCACAGAAACCATCTTCCTATTCCAAGGGATATAGATTTCTAAATGATAAGAAATACCGCATGTTCGATTGCCCACCTAGCTCGCTCAATTTCGATCGTCTTCTGTATCCATTTCGTCATCTTCCTGCCGCGGGGAATGAGATTCCCATAATAATGGAGTGCAAACCGTCGGAATATTTACAACAACACTGGAGACGATGGCTTCCCGCTTTTCCTCCACCTGTAATTAAATCGCTGGACGAAGGACTTCAAGATGATATCCCAGTCATCACGACAGGCGCGTTACAAGGCATCCCCGAAGAAAAGCACAGCGTACATCCCGACATTTTGTACAAACTTCAGCTTAAAAGTTCGATTCAGAAAGTTGGAGTTCTTTGTCCTAAGCACATGGACATTAATTCAGTTTCTTTTCCCTGCGCTGTGAAGGCGGACTTAAGTTCGGGTGGTCGAGGAAACTGGCTTGTTAAGAACGAGAGTGAATTATCAGCAACCTTGAGACAGATTCGGGGGGTTTGTCAGTGGAACGATGGAGTTGTATTTGAGGAATTTATCCCTAGCGTCAAAGAAGTTCCTAGCTTTCAGTTTTACCTGCACAAATCTGGGGAGATATTTTGGGTGGGAACTACGTCCGGCGGTTTTATCAATCGGTTTGCCTGGATTAAAGGATCGGTTGACTGGGACAGGCAAGATGAATACAGAGACCTTGTCCATGAAGAATTCACCTTGCCAATTAGGAATTATCTTTTAGACCACGGTTATTTTGGTCTTGTCACTTTTGAGGTTTTATTCACAGACCACGGCAACTACCTTGTCGATGTGAACCCAAG